CCACTTCCGGCTTTTTTTCTTTTTGCTTATGTGGTGCTGGGGAATCGAGCCCAGGGCCTCAAGCATGCAAGGCAAGTGCTCTACCACTGAGCCACCTTCCCAGCCCCTGCCTCTGAGCTTTTTGTTCAGGGCTAGCCCTCTGCCACTTGAGCCATAGCTCTACTTTTGGCTTTTTGGCAGTTAATTAGAGATAAGAATCCTGGGAATACAGGTTTTGAGGTTTGAGCCACTGGCTAATATGTACTTTTTTTTAAAACATGTATAGCCATCTAAATATAATTTTTGTTTAAAATTATGAGAAATTATTCTGAAGGTCAGAATGTTAAAAAAAATAGTGATTTTTACTTAGTCACTGAAACTGATGGAATACAATCATGCAGATATTTATTTTCTAATGATTATATCACAGTAAAATGTATTTAGCAACCAACCTATACAAACGCAATGTAGTACTTGATTAATCATGAAGATACTACAAGGTTTTATGTTATCTTAGCATGACTGTGCTTTGGTACAATAATACAGCTATTGTTATCCTAAGCAGTCTAGATTTTAAGAATACATTTTCTTCTATTCATCCAATATCTAGGTCCAGCTCTTTTCTAGAGACATAGATAAATAAATCTTGTTTTTAGTTTTTGTTTGGTTTCTTTTTATCTACCAACCTTTTGCTTTATATATATTGTTTTTGCTTTATATATATTGTTTTAAATGTTTGGAATATCTTATATTTCCCTGAATATATTTTTTTTCATAATAGTGTCTACTACTAAACCATCAAATGAAATTTTGAAGGAAGCAGATACAGATGTACAAGTTTGTCCTAACTATTCTATACCTCAGAAAACAGATTCCTATTTTAATCCGAAAATGAAACTAAATCGGTAAGATCAATTCAAAATAGAGTTATGGGGAGTTTAAAATAGTGAAAACAAACCTTTTAAGTTCCTATTTACTAAAATATTAAGAGTGAAAATGATACAAAATGACAATCACCTACTGTAACATTTTCTCAAAATAATGGTTTCCTTTTAGGTACAAAGCCAGTTTCTTTGTTAGACAGCAAAATAGACTTACTTTATGTAATTAAACTTGAATAGGCTTGTACTTTTGTGGCTAAGTTTTATTAAAAAATAAATGAATGCTTGTTAATTAGAAAGCAGTCATAGCTTAATTTCATCAATTTTTAGGTCTTGTGTTATTAAATTAGGCATATATAATCAGATCACTTTTCAAAGGTCTATAAGTGAGGAAGCCATAGTAACCTAGAATTATTTCAGACTATTACTTCCTTTTAGGCAGCTAATTTTCTGTACATTGGCTGCTTTGGCTGAGGAACGAAAACCTTTGGAATGTCTAGATGCTTTTGGAGCTACTGGTAAGTAAAGAAGATTTTTTGAATCCCATTTTATTTGTCCAATATTTTAGCATATTTATATGGATATTGTATCTTTAAAAAATAACTTTTTTACCCCTCTATATAGTATTTTCACCATAAAAAACTTATTCCTAAAAAAATAACTTTTTTTTTTTGGTCAGTCGTAGAGCTTGAACTCTGGGCCTGGGCACTGTCCCTGAGCTCTTCAGCTCAAGGCAAGCGCTCTACCACTTGAGCCACAGTGCCACTTCTGGTTTTCTGGTGGTTTACTGGAGATAAGAGTCTTATGGACTGTCCTGCCCTGGCTGGCTTTGAATCGTGATCCTCAGATCTCAGCCTCCTGAGTAGCTAAGATTACAGGCATGAGCCACCGGCACCCAGCTAAAAAACTTTTTTTTGTACATGGCTTGAAATCTGGGCTAGATACTCTTTCTTGGCTTGTTTGTTCAACCAGCCCAGCTTGTTCCTGGCTAATTAGAGTCAGAACCTTGAAGACTTTTCTGCCTAAGCTTGTTTTGAACCCAGGTCTCCTGAACAGGTCCATTGTACATGGGGAGCCACTGGCACCTGCTAATAAAAATAAGACAAAATCTTGCTTTTTCCTCCCAAGTGTTAGGATTACAAGCATGTGCTACCATGCCCACCTCTGGTAAGGACTTTTTAAGAAATAATACCATTAATATACCTAAAATCATGCCTTAGCCCCAGCCTACCTACTTTAACTTTCCCATCATTTCTGGATTGACAAACTGGAACATCATAGCTTACTTCCCACTATGGAAATGGAGACTCAGAGACTTTTTCTTCCTAGGCTGGCCTTCCAAGTATCTTAGAATGGCAGGCACTGCACCAGCTATTATGAGTTCAGAAGGGTGTCTCATGAGCCTTTTACCCAAGCCTGTTCTCAAATCATGATCCCACTCTCAGCTTCCCAATTAACTAACATTACAGGTGGAAGCCACCTGCACCCAGCTTCAGAATATATTATTTTAAATTGTTTGATGATGTCTAAGTCCCTTCCTAATCCATATTCCCTTCTGTCCTTAGAGAGAGTGTGTGTGTTAACCTTTGACCTGTAATGTCTAACCATCTAAATTTCTATTGATTCTATTGCTGTGGCACATGTAACATGGTCTTCTGTTAATTGTATTTTTCATATTGGTAGTTTAATCAGATTCAATAAGGAATTATTTTATTTCAAGAATACTTATTGTAACTAAGAGCAACTGATAGGTCTTTTATGTTGTGCTGATCATTGCCTAGCTTTCAGTTTTGAAATTGAGACTATTTTTCCAAAGGACTTAAAAATAAAAGATAATAGAAATATAAAAGATGATAAAAAAAAAAGCCACTTGTACTACCCATCCAAGTCTTAAGATTATATTGCACACTGGGAAATCTTGAACCAAAGGGTGAGAGCATTTGTAAACTGCCCTTCCTAAGCTCTGTCCTGAGGAGAAAAACAGTGGTTAAAAGAGAGACTGTGGAGCCAAAAGTCCCAGCTCAATATGTCCTTCATCTTATTTTTTCTCAGTATTTTTTCTCACACTCTCTTTGCCCTTATTCTGGACTGGAGTTAGTTAGGATTCAGGTTTTGCACTTGCTAGGTACTCTCCGGCATGAGCCGTTCCATCGGTCTTTTCTGTGTTACTTGTTTTTTGAGATAAAGTCTTGCTTTATGCCTGAGCTAGTCTTGTCTATGATCCTCCTATCTGTGCTTCCCCCATAGCTGGCATAACAGATGTGCAAAACTTTTTGCCCAGGCTGGCCTCAAACTATGATCCACCAGTCTTCACCTCCCAAGTAGTTTGGATTACAGGCTTGAGCTACCATATCCAACTTCTAACCTTTACTTTTTAATGGGCCTTTGGAAATTTCTATCAGGTTTGTAGTAGCTATTTTGTATGTTTTTCATCCCTGAAGTGAGGATGTTCGGTCTTACAAGTTTATTGGGAAGAGATGAAAAAAATATATTTAATGTCTATGACATACAATAGATACACAGATTATTTCCATTCATGAGACATAATAGGGAGAAGATAGTGTTTCTAATACACAGGAGATCTTCTAATACGTATTGGCTGGGCTTATGTCAACATACCTAGTTAATGAATGTTCTTTATGACCAATCTAATGGCTGTGAAAAACATGTGCAAAAGTGCTTTTGGGGTTGAATTCTTCTCAATCATTTGCTTATATATGAAAAATGGTTTTTCATTCACAAGCAAGCTTTTGTGCACTATTTGAAATTTTTGGTCTGAGAAAGTTATTTGTGTATTTTGGTGCTTAGAGGTAAACTTCAGCAGTAGGACTTCAACTTCCCTTCCTCCTTTCCACCTTTATTCATATTGTATATTAGGCATATCTTCAGTTTTTTATAAAAAGTATTACACTGTAAGTAACAGAACAACAATAATCTATTCCATGAACTGAAACATACATATTTTATTTGAACAAGAAGCATCTAAAAATTATAAGAAATATTAGTAAAAACTCTTATTTGGGACATATTCTTATAGTAATTTTTGAGAAACTTTATAGTGAGGAAAAATAGCTTAATTAGAGCTACTTATGAAAATATTAAGATTTTAAAGGAATTTGTTATCTATATATTCTTTATGGTTTTTATTCGTCAATAATTAAAACTAAAAAACTTGTTTTCTTTCCTATATCTCTTAAGGGATAATGGGATTACAATGGGCAAAACATCTTGGCAATGCAGTCAAAGTTACAATTAATGACATGAATGAAAATTCTGTGACATTGATTCAGAAAAACTGCCATTTAAACAAGTTGAAAGTGGTAGTAGACAGTAAGGAGAAGGAAGGCGGAGATTGTCTTGGAGAAGAAGAACAAAATCTTGGTAATATTAAGGTGACCAAAATGGATGCGAATGTGCTGATGCATTTGAGATCTTTTGATTTCATGTAAGTGAAAAAGATCTGGTATGTCACTTGCTAAACTGTCCTGGAACTTTGAGTGGCGAAGTCAGTCAAGTGTAGTTAAAAATTAAGAAAATATGTTGTTGTTTTTTATTTTAATAGAGTTTTTAACATTGGCCTAACATATGCAATAAGGCAGTTTTCTAGCATTTCAAATAAAATGTAAGGGCATGAACTTTTTCTTAGTCTAATTTATCTTTACATGTTTGATGTCATAGGTCATCTTATATTAAAACAGAAGTCTGTATCTAAAATCAATTTGCAAAGGGTTTTATTGGGGGGGGGAGTGTTGTTTTGTTTCTATTTTTTGGTTTCTTGAGAAAAGGTTTTCATTATGAAGCCCCGGCTGGCATTGATCTAGAGTTCATTGCATGTTATAGACTGGCCTCTAGCTCTCTCAGTTCTTCTGTTTCTACCTCCCAAGTTGCCGGGATTTTGAGTGTGTCCACCACATGCTAGGTTGGAAAATGCTTTAGAATTTAAGGAATTTTACCATTAGAAATATGTATCATTATTTTGGTTACTAATACGAGTTTAAATCTGTCCATTTTCTTTCTAATTTTAGACACTTAGACCCTTTTGGAACATCAGTGAACTATCTAGATTCTGCATTCAGAAATATAAGAAACCTTGGCATAGTATCAGTGACTTCTACAGATATCAGTTCCTTATATGCCAAGGCACAGCATGTTGCCCGGCGACACTATGGATGTAACATTGTCCGAACTGAATATTACAAGGAACTAGCAGCCAGAATCGTGGTAGCTGCAGTGGCAAGGTACATTGTACCTAGTATGATTCAGTAAATGACTGAAAGTGATCCTACAAATGAGTTTTTATCTTATTTTTCAAAATATGCTTGGGATATAAATTCTATATTCCATTCTGGTAATTTGGTTTGTTTAAATGTGTTTTCAATCTTATGTTCTGTTAGAACTTTAACAGTTTATATCTGGTGGGGCACCAATGGCCCATGTTTGTAATCTTAGCTACTCAGTAGGCTAAGATCTAGGGATCCAATTTTGAAGCTAGCTCAGGCAAGAAAGTCCATGTCCAACTAACTACCAAAAAGCCAGAAGTGGAGCTGTGACTCAAGTGGTAGAAAGCACTAGCCTTGAGCAGAGTATCTCAGGGACAGTGTCCGGGCCCTGAGTTAAAGCCTTAGTACCAGCACACACAAAAAGTTTATATCTGAGGGCTGGGAAGGTGGCTCAGTGGTAGAGTGCTTGCTTTGCATGCATGAGGCCCTGGGTTCGATTCCTCAGCACCACATAAGCAAAAAAACTGGAAGTGGCACTGTGGCTCAAGTGGTAGAGCGCTAGCCTTGAGCTGAAGAGCTGAGGGACAGTGCCCAGGCCCAGACTTCAGGCCCCATGACCAGACCCCCCCCCCAAAAAAAAAGTTTGTATCTGAAATACTTAGTGTACTCTCCACCTTAACATGTTATTCAACAATTGAAGTTTTAAGACAGAAAAGCTGATTTCAGATCTATTTTAACAATATATGGAGCAAATAGTAACCTGAAAAGGAAAAAGAAATGTTGTGAGGTTAGAAATAATATGTTTTGTATCGAGTTTTTAGATAGATTGAATAAAAATTATGACTTATAAACTTTATTCTGCAAACTGATCTTAGAAAGTTCTCTTGTCAGAATTTCTAGGTAGTTGAAAAAAATGAAGACTATTTGAACACCTGTTACATGCAGATTGTTATTAAGCTAGCAAGATAGCTTAACAATACAATGTGATGACCAGCCAGCTCATTCACTAGTTCAAACACAAGTTCTATAGCATACAGATGGAAATTGCTACCTCCACTTAAGTTAGATTAGACTTCATCATCATCACCACTATTTATTATTGTTATTATCATATGACTTCATGTACTTTCAGTATCATTCCTGTTACTGAAAACTGATACACAGTTTATGCATGGCAAAGATATATGTGCATATTAAGAAATATAATATCTGTAGATTTAGAAGTGGTATATGTAGTAGGTCTTAATCCAAAAAGTTAGAAATTAATTGTAGAAATAACTGATTATTCATTTTGACTGAAAATTCAGCAGCTAGCATAACAACAACAGCATCTAGTCAGTACTCAATATATATTTGGAAGAAATTTTTGTAAGAAAAAATAGGAAGAAAGTTAATGATTACAGGACAAGAAGAGATGAAGCTGAAAACCTGCAAAGATAGCCCTGTTGCAAAGCTAGGATACAGGAAAGTGTCTAAAAACTGAAGACCTGACAAGGATCCTTTATTCCCTGTATTTGTTTGCATAAAAGTTACAGTAATGATCTTTTAAAAAGCTCTGCTATTAAAAATTTAATTTTCCATTATTACCCATCGTTTACCATCCAGAATTGTTGTCAGTATTATGCCAAAGGAAACTAAGTTCTCAAAATTTTTTTTTTAATTTTATAGAGCTGCAGCACGATGCAACAAAGGCATAGAAGTACTGTTTGCAGTAGCTTTGGAACATTTTGTGTTGGTTGTTGTGAGAGTATTGAGGGGGCCTACTTCAGCAGATGAGACAGCCAAGAAAATTCAATACCTGATCCACTGTCAGTGGTGTGAGGAGAGGATTTTTCAGAAGGATGGTAATATGGTAGAAGGTAACCTGAAGTTCTTCTTGACTAATTTATGTATAAGCCTCTAATGAATAAGCCTTTGTTACACCCCTAATTATACATATTGTCCTTTGATTTTAAAGATGACAGTGCTAACTTTGTTATTTACTATACTGGACTTACTTTGATCAACAGACAGCACATTCCTGTGAGTTTAAGTTATTACTCTGTAGTTTTTGCTTTCTGGACTTACTCTTTTTTGAAACATTAGAAATAACTTAGTTTCTACTGTCAACTAATCTTAGGAGCCTAAGTCAGATTACTTTAGGCTGTTACAAATCATTAACTTTATAGGAATAATTTTCATGTTTTTAACCAAATGTAAAGGCCACCAGTTATAAAATTAATTCAGTAAACACTTAGTGAATCTCTACTATATGCCAGGCTTGGGTATACAAAAAGAAATTGTGGTTCATGTCTTCTTAAAGCTGTTTCTAGGACATAGGAAAAATTCTGCTGTTTTCTATTAAGTTCTTGATATTTTTAGTATTACTTTTAATAGTTGAGAGGTTGGTAGCATGAAGGTTTGAACTCAGAGCCTAGTGCATGATAACAGGTACTCTACCATTTGAGTCATGCCAACATCCCTTTTTTGCTTTAGTAATTTTTCATATAAGGTATCTCATTTATGACCAGGCCACAGCTCCTAATTTATGCTTCCCATGTAGCTGGGTTGGCTTGCATACACCACCACACTCAATTTTTATTCACTGAAGATTGAGGTCTCTGGAATTTGTTTGCCTTGGCTGGCTTCAAACCCCAAATCTTTTGATATACATCTCCTATGTTGCTGTTGTTTTCTTTCCTTTTTTTTAATTTAAAGCAGTTTTGGAGTTTGAACTCAGCTCCTGATGCTTGCTAGGCAGTGGAGCCATACATCTCCCCCCAACCACTACCAACATCTTTTTTATTTATCTTACAGTGCTAGTCCCAGGGCCTAAACTCGGGGCCTCACAGCTTATTTGCTCACAGCTACACTACAACCAAACTTACAATCCAGCATTTTGCTAGAAATTGGAGATGGAGTCTTGAAGACTTTTCTGTTCTTTTCCTCTTCTCTGTCCTCCAACTCCAAACTGACATCAAGCCTTGATCTTCCAGATTCAAGACTCCTGAGTGGCTAGAATTACATACAGGCATGAGCTTTTTTTTTTTTTTTAATACAGAGGTTTTCTCTTTATCTTCACCTTTTCTCTAATGATTTGAGAACATTTTCTTCATCTTATACAGACTTCTACATAAATTTGAGTTTGTTTCTGGATTTTCGGTTCTAGTATCTATTAACACCTGTACAGTGTTAATTAAAGAGGCTTTGTAGCATTACTTACTATCTGTTGAAGCATTTTTTGCTCAGTTTTTTTTTTTCAGAGTGATATTAGAACTTGACTTTTGTTTTTGATTTTCTTTAAAAAGTAGGCAAGTGACTAGGAAGTGTGGCTCAGTTGATAGAGGCTCTGGGTTAAATCCTCAACGGTGCAAAAAATAAAAATTAAGGGAGCATAGGAATTGAGGGAGGAAGGGTGAGTAAATGAAGTCATTGTATTAATTGTGAAAAATGAACTATAAATTGTGAACAGGAACAGAAGGGGGAAAATGGGGAAAAGAAAAGGAAGGATGACATTGTCCAAGAAGCACTTTACTAGCTACCCAGGAGACTGAGATGTGAGGATTGCGATTCAAGCAATTCCCAGCAGGAAAGTATATAAAACTCTTTATCTCCAATTAACCACTAAAAAGCCAGAAGTAAAGCTGTAGCCCAAGTAGTAGAGCACTAGCCTTGAGCAAAAAAGCTAAGAGACAGTGCCAGGCCCTGAATTCAAGCCCCAGGACTGTCTGTAAAAAATAATAAAATTTTAAATTAAAAAAGTAAATAACCCAGCCAGGTACTGGGCTAATACCTGTAATCCTAGCTTCTCAAGAGGCTGAGTTCTGAAGATTATGGTTCAAAGCCAGCCCAAGTTAAGAAAGTCCTTGGGACTCTTTATCTCCAATTAAAACAACAAAAAGTGGGCTAGGAAGGTAGCTCAGTGGTGGAGTGCTTGCCTTGCATGCATGAGGCCCTGGGTTCAATGCCTCAGCATCACATAAGCAGAAAAAGCCAGAAGTGGCACTATGGCTTAAATGGTAGAGTGCTTGCCTTGAGCTGAAGAGCTGAGGGACAGCGCCCAGGCCCAGAGTTCAGGCCCCACAACCGACAAAAACAAAAACAACCACCAAAAAGCCAGAAACGGAATTTGGCTCAAGTGACAGAGCACTAACCTTGAGGTAAAAATCTCAGGGACAATGCGCAGGCCTTCCAGTCATATCTCCTGGACTGGCACAAAAAAGAAAAATAACCTAATTGGCATTTTATTTTCATTGTACATCAAAGGCAAAACACTGTAATTTCAAAGCTCCTCACAAAATACTTTTTTGTATTTGTTTTGTATTTGTTCAAGTTCTTTTAGTACTGTGGTAGAATGGGAGGGTGTTCTGTTTTATTTCTAAGCAGCTGCTCCACCACTTAACCCAAGCTTTGTCACATTCCTTAAAGTACCATCTTACAACTGTGTCCTATGCTGTTTACTATCATTAACAGAGTAATATTAGGTAGAAAGAAGTTAGGGCCCTGCCTGGGTCCTGAGCTCTGACTGACCTGATTAGACCATTCCAAGAAAGTCAGTGGTCAATTCAAAAATGGATTGGAGCTGGGGGATGTCTATGAAGAGAGTTTCTAATTTAAAATGATATTTTTAGAGCTGTTAGTGTAGTTCAGTGGCCTAACATATATGAATTTCTAGGTTTGACCCCAGCACCATTAGAAGATAAAAATTAAGAATAAAATAAAGGAAACCAGTGGTGGCTCACACCTGTAATACTGGCTACTCAGGAAGCTGAGGTCTGAGGATCATGGTTCGAAGCCAGCCTGGGCAGGAAAGGCCATGAGACTCTTGCCTTCAATAAACCACTCAAAAATCAGAAGTAGCACTGTAGCTCAAATTGGTAGAGTGCTAGCCTTGAGCCACTTCTGATTTTTGAGTGGGACAGTTTCCAGGCTAAGTTTAAGCCCCATGACTGACACCCTCTCCACCCCCACCCCCCCCCAAAAAAAGAGGAATAAAAGGACTAGTCTGGGCCTTCAGTGAATTACAAAGTCCTATAGTGTTATACCACCTCATACTGGTGTTTAAATGAAATAAGATTTTTCTAGTCTATACTTTGGAAGCTAAATATGAATCAAGATTAGGGAATAAAGTAACTTTTGACCTGATTACACAGAAGAGAAACATTTTGATAGTAACATTGGTTTAAGGTTATAAAACACTTGTTAGACCTCATTTTTACATTTGTATAGATAACGTATACTATATTTGTTTATTTTGGTGCCATTATTGGGGCTTAAACTCAGCCTTGTATTCTGCTCAGCTGTTTCATTTATGGCTGGAGCCATGTCTCCAGTTCCAGGTGTTTGCCAGTTACTAAAGGATAAGTGTTTCACAGATTTATCTGCCTAAGCTGGCTTACTTTGCACCTCCAGAATGGCTGGGATCATAAACATTAGCCACCACTGCCTGGTCAGTGTATGCATTGTATCAGTATACAATATAAATTACACCCCAGTTTGTTAATTTTAAAATATGGAAATCTTGTAATCATTAACAAAAGACTAATATTAAGACTAATATTTTATGCCTTCAGTAAGCCATTTGACTTGGCTAAGCTATGATTCTCTGTGATTGAAATTTTAATAGCCCTACCTTCAAAGCACAGTGATAAAGATTCAAAATACAGTTAGAATTTTTAGCACGGTACCTGGCACATAGTAGATCCTCAGTGTATACTAGCTACCAGTTACTACTATTTGCAGTAGTTATTTCTCCTTTAATTTATTTATTTATTTACAGAAAACCCATATAGACAGTTGCCCTGTAACTGTCATGGAACCATGCCTGGAAAGACAGCAATAGAACTTGGACCTCTGTGGTATGTACCTGAATGTAATAAGATTCAAAAATTGGTTTATTGTCAACTTATGATTATATGTGGTAACAGGTAAGTTTGTTTTTAGGTCTGAGTAAGCAGTTAGGACTCCTCTCAAAATTTCAGTGGAGCTATGATTCAAGTGGTAGAATGCTTGCCTTGAGCAAAAGTATCTTAGGGACAACACTCAGGCCCTGTGTTCAAGCCCTAGGATTGGCATCCCATTACCTATATCATCTGCCACCAGTTACCCTACTCTCAGATCTCAAAGCTAGAGATATTAAGAACAATAGGCCCATTTGTTAGGAAATGGAAAGATTCAGAAAAAATTATTTTAAGTGAAGTAAGCCAGACCCAAAGAAACAGGTCATATGGTTTCCCTTATTTGCAATAACTAGTATATGTCTGGGACAAGCAGAAAAGGTCAAAAGCTATGTTCATATGACCATATAAGATGATATTAAGTGAAATGAACCCCAAGATAGGGACACAAGTGGTTTGTTCTTTCTTGCTGTTCCTAATGTATTTATAATGTACCATGTGATTTTTTTGTTTCTTTGTATGTTCCTCCCCCACGGTATAACCCCTGTTTTCACTGTATTTGATATCGGTGCCCTGCATCTTGTATATACACTTCTTAACTTGGTCGGGGGGAGGGAAAAAACAAAATGCTTAAGTAGGGATACAGGTTGAGCCATTGTAACAATTAGATGTATAGGACACTATGTTGAAAAATGAACTTTATAATTTAGGCAGGAAGGTGGGGAGGAGGAATGAAGGAGAGTGTGATTGTAGCGGTGGGAGGGAAGGGATGGTAGGGGAAAAACAAAGGAGGAGTCAACAATGCTTGATAGGAAATGTGCTCATTACCTTGCTCATATAACTGTAACCCCTCTGGTACAGTATTTTTACAATAAAAAACATATTTAAAAAGAAAAAAGAATAATAGGTTGCTGGATCCAGAAGGAAGATCTTCTAGCCTAGCTCCTCTTTTTTTTTTCTGATCATGGGGCTTAAATTCTGGGCCTGGGCGTTGTCCCTCAGCTCTTCCTAATTTTACAGACAGAAATTGTGGCATAATTTTCTTTTTTTGGTGGGGTGGGGGGGTCCAGTCGTGGACCTGAACTCTGGGCATGGGCGCTGTCCCTCAGCTCTTCAGCTCCAGGTTAACGCTCTACCACTTGAGCCACAGCTGTGGCATAATTTTCTTAAATGCTTACTAAAACTCCCTTTTCCCTTCCCCCCGCACCTCCTTCCCCCCTTCCCCGTAATGAGTTGTTAGCACAATTAGGGTAGAATCTGGGTTTTCTCAGTCCTAGGACTGATTACTCATTCATAGGGATTGTTCTGCCTTTACCCTCATTCATGATATCATCCCTTTACCCCATCACATATTCAGGTTATAGTTCCCTTTGGAAATCTTTTTAGAGCTCTACTCCAAGTAAGCTCTAAATTCTTTTTTTAGTGTATCTTATATTCATCATTGGACACTTTGAAATTCTAGTTACTAACCTTAATCTTAGTTACTATTCATTGAGGATGTATTTCGTGCTAGGTTTCATACATGTACCATCTTATTTAAATCCCATATGTTTGTGAGAAGCTTTAATTTCAAGGTAAGGAATACAAGACTCAATCACTAGTAACTTCTCAATGTTACACAGCTAGTAAGTAGTGAAAGAAGGATTAGAATCCAGGTTTGTTTGATTTGGGATTTCATATTTTGTCAGTTATAGTTGAGATTCTCAAATAGGAAGCATAGTTAACTTTGAATTTTATATTTGTGTATATCCTCCACATGCCTACCAATATAGCATAATACTGTGTGACTTGCTAAGGCTCAATAATTCTTACCTATTTTATAATGTAAATGAATTTCCTTAGCTAGTTTTATTACGATCTTAGAAAACTGGAATGATAAAAGAAGTAGGGAAGAACAGCAAAAATAATACAAATCATAACTTCATTTTCAGTGTTTTAGTTGTAACAAAATTATGAAGACTTATTTTTTGAAGAACAAACATTTTCCAAAGACAGTTCTATGTACTGTTTTCCAGGTCAAGTTCCCTTTTCAACACGGGATTCCTCAAAAGAATGCTATTTGAATCTCTTCATCATGGTGTGGATGATATTCAGACCCTCATAAAAACATTAATCTTTGAATCAGAGTGTACTCTTCAAAGTCAGTTTTCAACTCAGACACCTTCAAATGTCAAGAAGCAAGGTTACTATACACTCGCTCATTAGTTTACAGATTCGTTCTGAAAAATATTCTTTTTAATCTTTGGTATTGTAATCAAAAGCAATACAGTGTGTGCCTTTAACTACCCTGTCTCATTGTTTTCTACAACTTTTTATTTTGTAAACTTTAGTAGACTGAAGGAACGAAGAGTTTGTGACTTTATTACTATGTCTATTTTCTAGAAAAAAGAAGCTTTAGGTAATTATACAAGTGGTACAGCCAAGATTTTGGGGTAATGCCCATTGAAATTCAGAAGATAGTTTTATATATTTATCACTCAGATAAACTTTTTTTATAGGATTTCGTAGGCTTATATGGCTATTGATATAAGAATAAGCCTATTGAACGTCCTAATGCTATTGTACATAAGAAGAAGTTGTTGCTATTATAGGTTAAACTACATAATTTGTACAGCCTGTTTTAGACACAAAAGCTCATATACATATATATATATATATATATATATATATACACACACACACACACACACACACAAAAAGATAGTGTGGATGGAATTTTTATTGCAACTCTAACTTGCCATATCATCTTTAAATATTGCTTTCCCATTCTTCTTTCAGAAGAAAATGATGTATTTATCAAAACCACAGATACCACAATGGAACATCTACAAGGTATGTGGGTGTGTAATTATGTATTACTAAGCCAGGCGCTGGTGGCTCATGCCTGTAATCCTAGCTACTCAGAAGGCTGAGATCTGAGGATCATGGTTCAAAGCCAGCCCTGGCAGGAAAGTCCATAAAACTCTTATCTCCAATAAACCACCAGAAAACTGGAAGTGGCACTGTAGCTCAAGTGGTAGAGCGCTCGCCTTGAGCTGAAGAGCTGAGGGACAGCGCCCAAGCCCAGAGTTCAAGCCCCACAACCGACAAAAACAAAAAATGTCTATTACTAAGTATTAGAGCAAAAGGTGGAAGTAGCGCTGTGGCTCACGTAGTAGAGGGCTAGCCTTGAGCTGAAGAGCAAGCTGAGGGACAGTGCCCCATGACCAAAAAAAAAAAAGACAAAAAGGCTTACATATAGCAAAAAGTAGAAAAAAAAAGATGGCCTCAGTAAGTCTCTTCTCAAATGCTGACAACAGAACAATAATAAAATTTTGTATCATCATTCACATTGTTCACATTTCTAATTGAGTAATCCAGAATACTTCAGAACAAGGTAAACTAGAGTATTATATAACAAAAGTTGTAGCATTAAGAATAAATATTGATCAGGCCTTGGTGGTTCACACCTGTAATCCTAGCTGCTTGTAAGGCTAAGATCTGAGGATCTTTGTTCAAAACCAGCTCTTATCTCTAGTCAACCACCAAAAAGCTGGAAGTGGAGTTGTGGCTCAAATGGTAGAGTGCTAGCCTTGAGCAAAAAAGCTCAGGGACATGCACAGGACCAGCATAGGGGGGAAAAAAAAGGTGTTTTAATTTCTTTCAAAGTTTAACTTTTCTGTTGGAAGATTGATTGACAGAGGCATTGTGAGTTAATCTGTATAGAAAGTAGACTTAAATGCAGTAGAACTCTAGAAAGGTCCCTCCATTTCTTGGCCTAAATCTTTTTTAGAATAAGCAAACCATAAATATGCTTTTAAAAAATTTAAAATCTCTTGAGTTTTTGGTACATTTAAGGAAATAGACTGATTTCTAACATTTGTAGGTTTAATCTAAGACTGGTTTGTCAATACAACATACAGAGGGAAAAAAATCAATGTCCTGCTTACGATTATTGCTATTAGGGTATTATGTTGGGTTTTTGTCTCACTTTCCTAGAAATTTGTTCTAAATCTGTGTATTTATCCTTTCACTGTGTGCTTGTTAATTTCATGTGGAGATAAAGTCACATTTTATTTACCTAGTTTAATAGATTTCTGAATTGTCTTTTATCATAAAAAGTAATAATTTATATTATATAATAATGTATATTTATCTTTTCACATCATTTACCATAATTATGCATCAGATTTGCCTTCTGAATACTTCTAAGAAAACGTAGATATGACCTTTCCTGTATATAATCAGTTGGTAGCCAGCCATTGTGGCACATGCTTGCATTCCTAGCAGCTCAAGAGGCTGAGGCTGGAGGATCACTGGAGTCCACAGGCAACTGTAATATTAATAATAATGACATTGAACATTCAAGCAAAATCTCATCATAGTATTGGATATTTCATTAGTGTCTCTATGTGTGTGACTTTGGGAAGGGCACATTGCCAGAATCTAACTTAAGTCAGCATTGAGCTCATATATTGTACCTTTATCAGTATTTTTGTAAGCCCTCGAGACTTCTTTTGTGTTTTTATGTTCATCAAATTCTTGTTATTCAGTGCTAAGCAGCTGTAGTACAAGTAAAAAAATGAAGGGCATGACAGAATAGTGTTCAGCTCTGAATAGTGTTATTGACAGCAATGAATTAAAATTACACAAGTGGGGCTGGGAAGGTGGCTCAGTGGTAGAGTGCTTGGCTTGCATGCATGAGGTCCTGGGTTCGATTCCTCAGCATCACATAAGCAAAAAGAAAAAAGACGGAAGTGGTGCTGTGGCTCAAGTGGTAGAATGCTAGCCTTGAGCTGAAGAGCTGAGGGACGGCGCCCAGGCCCAGAGTTCAGGCCCCACGACCGGACCCCCCCCAAAAAAAAAATAAAATTACAAGTGAATAGAAGGACCTCATTGAAAGAATTAAGATTGAATAAGTAGATTTAAATGATTGTGTCAACAAGTTTGCAGGTGGTTAATAGTTACCAAAAGTTTGGGGGTTGGTTTTTGTGTGTGTGGTTCTGAGGTTTGAAACTCAGGGAGTTCACACTTGCTAGGTTGGTGCTTTACCATTTGAGCCATGCCTCCTGTTGGCTTATAATTTTTAAGAGAATGTTAACTATGTATGTATGTATGTTTCAGGAAAGAGAAAAAGCCATGAAGTGATAACAAATTTAGCCAAGAAGCAAAAGTCTGATGTCAGTACTGAACATCCTCCTTTTTATTATAATATCCACAGACACAGCATTAAAGGGATGAACATGCCAAAGTAAGACACCAATGAATAGCAAAGTATATGTCATGTTTTAATAAAATTGTGACTTAAATATTTAAGAACCTAATTTTTCATCCTTTACATTTTGCAGGTTGAAGAAGTTTTTGTGCTATCTTTCTCAAGCAGGCTTTCGTGTAAGCCGAACTCACTTTGACCCAATGGGTGTTCGTACAGATGCACCTCTGTTGCAATTTAAATCTATTCTTCTACAGTACAGCACCCCCACTTACACTGGAGGACAATCAGAAGGCTATGTCCAATCATCACCCGAAAATTCAGTGGCTGACAGGGTTGAATAACAGGTTGAATAATATGTGGCTGCAGAAGACAGTCATCATAGAGAAGCGATTATTCTCAGGTGTCTGTACAGATGGCCCAATAGTTCTATGCCACCTTGTATTTCCTTTTCTATTCAATTCAGTTGTGTAAAAATAAAGGGGGAAAAAAAGGTACTGATGTTTTCATTCGGAAAACTAGCCTTAAGCTAACTGGTTTGAGAGCGTTGTTTTGTAAGTTTTTCTTATTTAAAACAAGTTTTAATGAGAATTATTTCATAATGTGAACTTTCTGATTGGGACACCCTATGTTTAATAAATTTAGAACAATTTCATATAGTATTTAGAAACGTAAGTACATTGTGGAAGTGCTTCTTTTTTTATTCTAGGCCTCAGGCATACTAGGCAGCAATCTACCACTTAAGGTACTCCTTCAAGCTAGTCCTCTTTCCTCACAATAGCTGGGGCGATGGGCATGCACCATTGTGCCCTGCTGTACTATTCTTAATCACATAGCTTCTTAAACGTTTTCATGATATTTTTCTATGTGTAGTATACAAAATGAAGTTAAATCCTTTTACATATTGAAATTACCCTGGATAGAATAAAGGGAATGCTGTTCTTCCAAATCACAACACTAAAATATATTCATATTTTTAAGATAATATACTGCTCACTTTTTAAATTTATTAATACCTTTTGAAAAGTTAAATACTTGTCAGAGACAAATTCATTTTTTTTTACAAATTTACAGTCTAGATGGGGAAACGTTAAAGGTTATTGCTCTTCTATAACTGTTCACAAGCACTGAAATTCCAACAGTAGAAAGTTTGTTTTGTTACACTGTATGTGTAGCTGTGCCACCACTCAGAAGTAAAGTTTGTCACTTTATGAAGAGAAGTTTCTTTAGTTTGGGCTTTTGGTTGGTTGTAGTTTCTTTTTAGGTTTGTGTGTACTTTTTTTTATAATTAGCTCAAGCAAACATCACTATAAAAATAAGTTGAAAAAGTTATTTGTACTAATATTCTTGCTTTATTTGAGTAAACAAGAATTTGCATGAAAGATTTGGTGTCAAGCTTAGGGTTTTGTATCACAGATTTAGTCCATAACCAGTTTTTTAATTAACTTATTTAAACAATTTATTTTGGAGTTTGCAGTCAGGCCTCAAAATTGCCAGGCAGGCACTTTACCCCTTGAGCCATACCCCAAGCTCAGAAGTACCTTTACAACCATTAAGCTCAAGAAGGAGTGGTATGGTTATAACTGAAAACTCTTAAGCAGTATGTAAGAAAACTCATCACATTGTGGTTCAAAGCCAGCCCGAGCAAGAAAGCCCGTGAGATTCTTAACTCCAATAAACCACTAGAAAACCGGAAGTGGTGCTGTGGCTCAAGCGGTAGAGCACTCACTCACCTTGAGCTGAAGAGCCAGGGACAGCGCCCAAGCCCAGAGTTCAAGGGCCACGACGTACCAAAAAAAAAAGTCTGGGTGTCGGAAAGGTTAGAAAAACAATATTTAGCAGAAATAAGTATGTTGGTATAGCATATTCCCAAAAGAATCTTTGTCTGATTTAATAGTATATTGCAATAAAATAATGGGTAGCTATTACAACTCAATTTTATCTGGGTGCTTATTGGCTCACATCTGTAATTATAGATTCTCAGAAAACTAAGGCCTGGAGGATCACAGTCCAGAGCCAATCCAGGCAGAAAAATCCTCCAGATTCCATCTCCAATTTATCAGCAAAACTTGGCTGGAGTCTCAGCTCAAGTGGTAGAATAGCTAGGCACAATCAATTTGAGTAAGGGTGGATGGAGGTCTTAATTCAAATCCTGGTGCTGCTGGAAAAAACAAAAATCCCAATTCTTGCTAGTTGGAATTAAAACTTAAAAATGAGAACAAAAAGAAATCGCTGTTCCTTCTTTGAGTAATTAGAAACAAATTAACTCAAGCCACCCCAAGCAGGAAATCCAGGTGACTTATCTCCAATTAACTACCACAAAACCAGACGTGGCTTTGAGCTACCACACCACTAAGCTCTACCCTTGAGCAAAAAGGCTCAGGGAAAGCACCCAGGCCCTGACTTCAAGCCCATGACCAGAAAAAAAAAAAGAGGGGGGAGGGGGAAGGAGCTAGCACTTGGACTATCTGATTTAGTTCACATTGACAAATTGAATATGTTTCAAAAAATATGCTAAATGCTCATGGGCATTTACCAAATTAAGCTTACCAAATTAAGCTCAGGCTTAATTTGGTAGAAAAAGAGAACTTAGAGAGCTTGCTAAAAACAGCTGAGTTCAATCTCAGTGCCACAGAAAATAAAATGTCTTAGTTTCATACATAAAGGTATATTTTAAAATATTTGGTAGAACTGATAAAGTACATGAAACTATAGAGAAAATACTTTTAAAATGCTATCTAGAATTAACATCTTGTTCCCATAACAACTAGTTATTTGAGAACATTAACTACATTGTAGAGTGGTGCCAGGTGTATCCTTCCATTACATTTTTAAAAAGCAGATTGGAAGCTAGAGTTTGGTAGAATGCTTGCCTAGAATAAAGCCTCCTGGCCCATGGGTTGAACTCCGACAATGCGAAAAAATAAAATGAACTGTCAGTACTCTAGACATATGCAGAAAGGGGGTAACATACAAAAGAATGGCTTGGGCAGGGGGAGTCACATGGCAGTAAAAATTCTATTTATACCATACTGACTTCTATAAAGCCCTACTCTAAATTGAATGATGTTCTGGTTGGCTGAGACTGGAATTCAAGAATAATCCCCCAAAGTTCTGGAATTTGTCTGCACTGCATAATTACAATATTAAGTAGCTCTAGGCTGGTTACCTTGGAGGCGACTAAGTAAAACACACATGACTTCACTGGCCCTTTCTCAGTAGACTCAGCAGTGAATTACAAACAGCATGGGACCTGCATGAGGGGAATGACAACTACTGTGGCTCATTCAGGCACATCAAATAGGATTATGAAATCTGTATTTTGGTTCTATATAGGTAGTCATATAGATAGATAGCAACTAACCAAGGCCAACTCGGTTAGACTCGATTATCTTGTAGGTTCTACTACCTATTATATTAACCATGCCCACCTTTCAGTCTAGCAATTAAGTAATTTACTTAAAATACTGTTATGTACTGCATAATATTTAGCTAAGCATAGCCTGCATATAGTGAGTGGTTCCACAAGACAATGGGACTGAAAAATTCCTACTGCCTGTAATACCAGAGCTGGTGAAATGTCATAGTACAATGCACATGTCTGGTGACGCTGCTGTAAACAAACCTCATCTACTGTGCTGTCATTTATATAAATAAGTATGGCTCGTACAGTTGTGTACTTTACATAATATTTAATAAACAACTGTTGCTGGATTTTGGATTTACTATTTTTTGAGGGGTGGGGAGGCTGCCTTCAAACTCGAGCCTTCTGCCGAAATGCTGGAATTAAAGGCATGCCCCCACCAAACCTGGCCCCTACACTACAATCATTTTAAGAAGGCATTGTTTTTATTGTTAACCAGTATTTCATGTGACACTGGCAGCAGCCTCCTACTGATTTACATCTCATAACTGACTTATACCATCTAAGTTTGTGTGAATGAACACTAGCTCAACACAATAAAACTGCCTAACACAATTCTCAGAATGTATCCTTGTGCTGAGAGCAATGTGTGACTCCCCTCAAAATAATCGCCATTAGCAAGGCTCATTCAACCAGTAGATCCACTTCAGCTGACACATCTCCCACTCATTCCTCATCCACTGCCATACTGCCAGACTTGTCTGAGTGCTAGTGCCCTGCGGCCAGTAGCTCAGACCTGTAATCCTAGCTACACAGAAGGCTGAGCCCTGAGGATCAGTTTAAAGTCAGCCCAGCAGAAAAGTCCATGAGAGTTAGCTCCAATTAATCAGCAAAAAGGGAGCAGTGGATCTGTGGCACAAATGGTAATGCACCAGTCTTGGCCAGAAAAGGCTAAACAAGAGCACAAAGCCTTGAGTTGAAGCCCCAGTAAAGAGGGAAAAAAAGGGTCCAGATTCTTACACAGAATATAGCTATAGTCACAAATGTCTTCAGTCTCTCATTTCCATTCTCTACATCAAGGAATTTCTAGCCTATCTCCTTCAGTTTGGATGAGCCATTGTGCATCAAAAACTCTTTCAAACAAGCAACCAGGATGGCCCCAGGTTTCAAGCTAAGTAAGCCTAAATCTGTCTAGGTGTAGTCTTAGTCTGTTTCCTACAATTCACTGTTCCAGACTGGATAATTCATAAAGTACACAGGTTTAATCAAGCCCATGTTTCTGAGGCCACAAAGTCCAAGGGCATGGCGTCAGGATCTACTCCACATCTGATCAAAGCTACATCATTATATGGTGGAAAGCATCATGTGCAAGATAAAACAGGCATTTTTAAAAATAACAAAGTCACTCCCTAATAACAGTTAACCCATGAACAGAACAATCTGTAAGAACAGAGCTCTCATGACCCAGTCAGTTCTCAAATTTCTCACTTCCAAATCCCATCAACATATGACTCTGGGGATTAAGATTTTAGCACAAAATTTCTGACAAACACTCAAACCACAGAAATACCCATATTAAGAACGAGACCAAGGGCTGGGAAGATGGCTCAGTGGTAGAGCACTTGCCTTGCATGCCTGAGGCCCTGGGTTTGATTCCTCAGCACCACATAAGCAAAAAGAAAAAAGCTGGAAGTGGCGCTGTGGCTCAAGTGGTAGAGCGCTAGCCTTGAGCTGAAGAGCTGAGGGACAGTGCCCAGGCCCAGAGTTCAGGCCCCACGACTGGACCCCCCCCCAAAAAAAAAGAATGAGACCAAATTTAAGCTATGTTCTTCAAGGTCTTAGAAACTATATATGATCAAACAGACTCTGTCAGACCACATCTTATATACCCTCAGGACTTTCTGTGATCTGACTCAAACTGCCCTAAAAACAAAAGGATAGATTTTTGTAATAAGGCCTTTCAAAAGGTAACTAGCTTCTTTAAATATTATTAAGGGGGGGCTGGGAAGGTGGCTCAGTGGTAGAGCGCTTGCCTCGCATGCCTGAGGCCCTGGGTTCAATTCCTCAGCACCACATAAGCAAAAGAAAAAAGAAAAAAAAGCCAGAAGTGGTGCTGTGGCTCAAGTGGTAGAGCGCTAGCCTTGAGCTGAAGAGCTGAGGGACAGTGCCCAGGCCCAGAGTTCAGGCCCCACGACTGGACCCCCCCCCAAAAAAAAAGAATGAGACCAAATTTAAGCTATGTTCTTCAAGGTCTTAGAAACTATATATGATCAAACAGACTCTGTCAGACCACATCTTATATACCCTCAGG